CAATTTTTGGTTTCTTCAATTTTTCGATTCCTCAATTTTTGACTTTCAGTTTCTTGATTTTTCGATTTCTCAAATTCTAATTGTTCAGTTTTACAATTTTTCGTTTTTTCAATTGTCGTCTTTTTCAATTTCTTGATTTCTTAGTTTCTTGATTTTTTTAAATTTTTTGATTTTCCATTTCTTCAGAATTTCGATTTTACAATGTTTCGTTTATTCAGTTTTTTGTTTCTTCAATTTTTCGATTCCACAATTTTTCGACTTTACTTTCTCAACTTCTGATTTTTTTCTTTTTAATTTTTCGGTGTTACAATTTTTCGTTTCTTCAATTTTCCAATTTTTCAGTTTTTTTATTTTCCGTCTTCTTGATTTTTAAATTTCCAATTTTTCGTTTCTTAAGTTTTTCGATTCCTCAATTTTTTTATTTTTAAGTTTCTTGATTTCCAATTTTTCCTTTGTTCAATTTTTGGTTTCTTCAATTTTTCGATTCCTCAATTTTTGACTTTCAGTTTCTTGATTTTTCGATTTCTCAAATTCAAATTGTTCAGTTTTACAATTTTTCGTTTTTTCATTTGTCGTATTTTTCAATTTCTTGATTTCTTAGTTTCTTGATTTTTTTAAATTTTTTAATTTTTCACTTCTTCAGTTTTTCGATTTTACAATGTTTCGTTTATTCAGTTTTTTGTTTCTTCAATTTTTCGATTCCACAATTTTTCGACTTTTACTTTCTCAACTTCTGATTTTTTTCTTTTTAATTTTTCGGTGTTACAATTTTTCGTTTCTTCAATTTTCCAATTTCTCAGTTTTTTTATATTCCGTCTTCTTGATTTTTAATTTTCCAATTTTTCGTTTCTTCAGTTTTTCGATTCCTCAAATTTTTTATTTTTAAGTTTCTTGATTTCCAATTTTTCCTTTGTTCAATCTTTGGTTTCTTCAATTTTTCGATTCCTCAATTTTTGACTTTCAGTTTCTTGATTTTTCGATTTCTCAATTTCTAATTGTTCAGTTTTACAATTTTTCGTTTTTTCAATTGTCGTCTTTTTCAATTTCTTGATTTCTTAGTTTCTTGATTTTGATTTTTTTAATTTTTCACTTCTTCAGTTTTTCGATTTTACAATGTTTCGTTTATTCAGTTTTTTGTTTCTTCAATTTTTCGATTCCACAATTTTTCGACTTTTACTTTCTCAACTTCTGATTTTTTTCCTTTTAATTTTTCGGTGTTACAATTTTTCGTTTCTTCAATTTTCCAATTTTTCAGTTTTTTTATTTTCCGTCTTCTTGATTTTTAATTTTCCAATTTTTCGTTTCTTCAGTTTTTCGATTCCTCAAATTTTTTATTTTTAAGTTTCTTGATTTCCAATTTTTTCCTTTGTTCAATTTTTGGTTTCTTCAATTTTTCGATTCCTCAATTTTTGACTTTCAGATTCTTGATTTTTCGATTTCTCAATTTCTAATTGTTCAGTTTTACAATTTTTCGTTTTTTCAATTGTCGTATTTTTCAATTTCTTGATTTCTTAGTTTTTTGATTTTAAATTTTTTGATTTTTCATTTCTTCAGTTTTTCGGTTTTACAATGTTTCGTTTATTCAGTTTTTTGTTTCTTCAATTTTTCGATTCCACAATTTTTCGACTTTTAGTTTCTCAACTTCTGATCTTTTTCTTTTTAATTTTTCGGTGTTACAATTTTTCGTTTCTTCAATTTTCCGATTTTTCAGTTTTTTGATTTTCCGTCTTCTTGATTTTTAAATTTCCAATTTTTCGTTTCTTAAGTTTTTCGATTCCTCAAATTTTTTATTTTTAAGTTTCTTGAGATCCAATTTTTCCTTTGTTCAATTTTTGGTTTCTTCAATTTTTCGATTCCTCAATTTTTGACTTTCAGTTTCTTGATTTTTCGATTTCTCAATTTCTAATTGTTCAGTTTTACAATTTTTCGTTTCTTCAATTGTCGTATTTTTCAATTTCTTGATTTCTTAGTTTCTTGATTTTAAATTTTTTGATTCTTCATTTCTTCAGTTTTTAGATTTTACAGTGTTTCGTTTATTCAGTTTTTTGTTTCTTCAATTTTTCGATTCCACAATTTTTCGACTTTTACTTTCTCAACTTCTGATTTTTTTCTTTTTAATTTTTCGGTGTTACAATTTTTCGTTTCTTCAATTTTCCGATTTTTCAGTTTTTTGATTTTCCGTCTTCTTGATTTTTAAATGTCCAATTTTTCGTTTCTTAAGTTTTTCGATTCCTCAAATTTTTTATTTTTAAGTTTCTTGAGATCCAATTTTTCCTTTGTTCAATTTTTGGTTTCTTCAATTTTTCGATTCCTCAATTTTTGACTTTCAGTTTCTTGATTTTTCGATTTCTCAATTTCTAATTGTTCAGTTTTACAATTTTTCGTTTCTTCAATTGTCGTATTTTTCAATTTCTTGATTTCTTGGTTTCTTGATTTTAAATTTTTTGATTTTTCATTTCTTCAGTTTTTCGATTTTACAATGTTTCGTTTATTCAGTTTTTTGTTTCTTCAATTTTTGGATTCCACAATTTTTCGACTTTTACTTTCTCAACTTCTGATTTTTTTCTTTTTAATTTTTCGGTGTTACAATTTTTCGTTTCTTCAATTTTCCAATTTTTCAGTTTTTTTATTTTCCGTCTTCTTGATTTTTAATTTTCCAATTTTTCATTTTTTCAGTTTTTCGATTCCTCAAATTTTTTATTTTTAAGTTTCTTGATTTCCAATTTTTCCTTTGTTCAATTTTTGGTTTCTTCAATTTTTCGATTCCTCAATTTTTGACTTTCAGTTTCTTGATTTTTCGATTTCTCAAATTCTAATGGTTCAGTTTTACAATTTTTCGTTTTTTCAATTGTCGTATTTTTCAATTTCTTGATTTCTTAGTTTCTTGATTTTTTTAAATTTTTTGATTTTTCATTTCTTCAGAATTTCGATTTTACAATGTTTCGTTTATTCAGTTTTTTGTTTCTTCAATTTTTCGATTCCACAATTTTTCGACTTTACTTTCTCAACTTCTGATTTTTTTCTTTTTAATTTTTCGGTGTTACAATTTTTCGTTTCTTCAATTTTCCAATTTTTCAGTTTTTTATTTTCCGTCTTCTTGATTTTTAATTATCCAATTTTTCGTTTCTTCAGTTTTTCGATTCCTCAAATTTTTTATTTTTAAGTTTCTTGATTTCCAATTTTTCCTTTGTTCAATTTTTGGTTTCTTCAATTTTTCGATTCCTCAATTTTTGACTTTCAGTTTCTTGATTTTTCAATTTCTCAAATTCTAATTGTTCAGTTTTACAATTTTTCGTTTTTTCAATTGTCGTATTTTTCAATTTCTTGATTTCTTAGTTTCTTGATTTTTTTAAATTCTTTGATTTTTCATTTCTTCAGTATTTCGATTTTACAATGTTTCGTTTATTCAGTTTTTTGTTTCTTCAATCTTTCGATTCCACAATTTTTCGACTTTTACTTTCTCAACTTCTGATCTTTTTCTTTTTAATTTTTCGGTGTTACAATTTTTCGTTTCTTCAATTTTCCGATTTTTCAGTTTTTTGATTTTCCGTCTTCTTGATTTTTAAATTTCCAATTTTTCGTTTCTTAAGTTTTTCGATTCCTAAAATTTTTTATTTTTAAGTTTCTTGAGATCCAATTTTTCCTTTGTTCAATTTTTGGTTTCTTCAATTTTTCGATTCCTCAATTTTTGACTTTCAGTTTCTTGATTTTTCGATTTCTCAATTTCTAATTGTTCAGTTTTACAATTTTTCGTTTCTACAATTGTCGTATTTTTCAATTTCTTGATTTCTTAGTTTCTTGATTTTAAATTTTTTGATTTTTCATTTCTTCAGTTTTTCGATTTTACAATGTTTCGTTTATTCAGTTTTTTGTTTCTTCAATTTTTCGATTCCACAATTTTTCGACTTTTACTTTCTCAACTTCTGATTTTTTTCTTTTTAATTTTTCGGTGTTACAATTTTTCGTTTCTTCAATTTTCCGATTTTTCAGTTTTTTGATTTTCCGTCTTCTTGATTTTTAAATTTCCAATTTTTCCTTTCTAAAGTTTTTCGATTCCTCAAATTTTTTATTTTTAATTTTCTTGATTTCCAATTTTTCCTTTGTTCAATTTTTGGTTTCTTCAATTTTGCGATTTCTCAGGTCTAATTTTTCAGTTTTGCAATTTTTCGTTTCTTCAATGTTCTGATTTTTCAATTTTTTGATTTCTTCATTTTTCAATTTTTCGATTTTACAATGTTTCGTTTGTTCAGTTTTTTATTTCAATTTTTTGACTCCTCAATTTTTCGACGTTTCAGTTTCGTCATTTTTCAATTTTTCGCGTTTCAGTTTCTCAATTTATTGATTTTTTCGGTTTCTTCATTTTTCTTTCTAATTTTTTGTTTTTGAATTTATTTTTTCAGTTTTTTGTTTGTTCAATTTTTGACTTCTTCAATTTTTTGATTCCCCAATTTCAGTTTCTTGATTTCTCAGTTCCTCAATTTCAATTTTTTTTAATAAAGTGATAACTTCGAAAAATCTAAAAATTGGAAATCAAGAACTTGAAAAACTGCAGAAACGAAAAATTGAAAATTAACAGAAAGCTGAGAAACTTAAAGATCGAAAAAGTGCAAAAATCGAAAATCCAAAAAATGCAAAATTGACAAATTTCAAAAATTGGAAAAAATAGAAATTGGAAAATCGAGGAATTGAAAATTCTCAATCTTTGAATTTTCAGTTTAAATAAAAGGTAAAAACGAATAAATTGTCATATAAAAAAATTTGATTTGACCAATTTTATTTTTTAGAGATAATCCGTATCAGTTAAAGTAATACATATCTTTATTTTAATACAGATAATACAAGAGTATCTTATTTTATGAAATTAAAAAATTGAGCTTACGCTCAGGAATTAGACATGTAAGAAAAAACTCTTTCGATCGTGCATGTAAGATCCACGATATTGCGTATAAATTTTCGGTTTCGCCGGAAACGACACCAACTCATTCAGTGCGTTTTTACAGGATAAGATAGTCAATTTGGTGGAGATGGCGGAACAGGAGAATGTCTACCGCCAATACGCCGAGCCCATTTTAACGACCACGTGGATCCCCGAGTACAAAGAAATCGGCAAACCTCTCAAAACCTACTTCACCACGATGTGTCAAATGATAGTCAGCAACGATATCTCCGTCAGACGAATGGCTTTAATTAATATAGGCGAAAATTGTCGAATAGGTCCTATTATCGAATGGTTCTACAACTTCGGGTACATCCTGCTGTCGAAGGACATCACTTACGACTGTTTGACGCTACGAGCTTTAGATTTAATCGCGACGTTAGAAAATAGTCCGACTTGTAGGATAAACGTTTCAGAAAAACAGGTACCTATTTTTGTTTTGTATGTATGTATATATTTACACTGTGTTGTAGCTTAAGTTACTGGTGAGGTTAATTCTGCAAAGGCTACTTAAGTCAACGACTAATAGCGAAGTGCTTAAGCCTATATGCAACACTCTCGCTTTGTTGTGTGTCCGAGACCCCTTAAAACAGTTCGTCGTTTTAAAAATTTTGCAAAAAATGGACCAAGTGTTCGAGAATTACGCTCTTCCTGTTTTATCCATAGCCAACAGTTTGGGCTCCGACGCCATCCAAAGCATCGTTCTACCAAACCTAGCTCTGTTCTTGAGCAGAACCGAAAAAGGCGAGTTGCCTTTTATTTATTCCATATTGGTACGCCGGCTGTCACCATCTTCACCGAATTATTATTTTCGTTACCTTTTTAGGAATCGTACCACATTCTCTGTCAAGAGAGCCTACTCAACTCGGCCATCTACGACTCGTTTTGCGACTACTTCGGCGACGCGATGGCCGTTTTCAACCAAGCCCCGAAATGTGTGACGGTTTCGGAGAAAAAGGACGCGAATTTCGCCCATATTAAGTGCGATTTGTTGCGGACGAGGAGGCGGATTTCGCCGAGGGAGAAACGGCCCGGTTTGACAATCGACGAGGTTTTCGAACTGCCGGCTGAAGAGTCCAAGGTTCGGAAGAAAATGAACGAGCACAAGCGGGATTGTGGTTATAGTGAAAATGGTGTCACCGTTGGGAAAACTTCTTTATTACTGCCAGTATTTAAACGAAAATGTAAAACTTATGAACAGTGTCAGGATCATACGTTGCTGTGGTACAATTTGTAACTTATTAAATTGTTTTCTTTCTTAGATGGTTTTGGTGGTGTTGGGTTTGAGCGATGTTGATAGGGTTGTCATTTCGTTGAGGATGTCTGCGAAGTGGGCGTTATTAGAGCATACATTGGATTTAAATTTGCGAAAATTCGAAAATTGTTACTTTCATCGTGTTTATTTATGGTTTTAATTAGCACTCATCGTACAATTTTAAAATTTTAAATTTTTCACGTGATTGATATCAACTTTTGAATTTTTCGATTATGAATTTGACTTTTTAATTTTTCGATTTGCAGCTTCGCGATTTTACAGTTATTAAATTTTTGGATAATTAATTTTTTCGATTTTTCAATTTTTAAATAATTAATTTTTCGTGTTTTCCTTTTTTACTTTTTAGTTACTCGATTTGTAATTTTTCGATTTTTCAAGTGGGGAATTTTCCATCGTTAAATTTTTTTTTACCAGTTTTTTGACTTCAGATTATCGATTTTTCGATTGATCGTTTCTTCAATTTTTCGATATTACAATTTTTAAATATGAGTTAAATTTTTCATGTTTCTAGTTTTTCAATATTTCAATTTTTCGGCTTTTTGGAGAAACTGTTTTTTTATTTGCCATTTTTCGTTTTTTTTTCACTTTTTAGATTTTTTAGTTCCTCAATTTATCTATTTTTTAATTTTTCGATTCCTCAATTTATCAATTTTTCAGTTTCTCGATTTTTAAGTTTCTTGGTTTTTAATTTTTCAATTTTATAATGCTTCTTCCTTTAATTTTTTAATTTCTCAATTTCATATTTTCCCTTTATTTTTTCGTTTCGTCAATTTTTTGATTTTTCAATTTTTCGTTTCAGACTTTGCAATTTTTAGTTTTTTCAATTTTTCATTTCTTCAATTTTCCGATTTTCGTTTCTCGATTTTTCCGTTTCTTCAGTTTTTCGATGTTCAGTGTTTTGATTTTTGGATTTCCCAATTTTAAGTTTTTCGATTTTACAATTTTTGGTTTCATCAATTTTCAGACTTTAATTTTTGTTTCTTAGATTTTTCGTTTTTTTATTTTCCGATTTAACAGTTTCTCGGTTTTTCCATTTCTTTTCAATTTTTTCTATGATTTATCATTTTTTTCAATTTTTCCGTTTCTTCAACTTTCCGATTTTCCAATTTTTAGTTTCTTCAGTTTTTCGATTCCTGAATTTTTCAATTTTTTCAGTTTTACAATTTTTCGTTGTTTCAATTTTTTGGTGTTCAATTTTTGGTTTCTTCAATTGTCCGATTTTTAAAATTTTTGATTTTTAATTTTTCAATATTTAAATTTCTCCATTTCTCAATTTTACAATGCTCATTTCTCAATTTTTTGATTTCTCAATTCCAAATTTTTATTTATTTTTTCGTTTCTTCAATTTTTTTATTTTTCAGTGTCTTCGATTTTCTAATTTTTAATTTCTTCAGTTTTTCGATTTCCCAATATTTTGTTTCTGCGATTTTCTGATTTTTCAATTTTTAGTTTCTTCAGTTTTTCGATTCCTCAATTTTTTTGTTTCTTCATTTTTTAGTTTTCCAATTTTTCATTCTTCAATTTTACATTTTCTCATTCCTTCAGTTTTTCGATATTTCAGTCTCTTGATTTTCCAATTTTTAATTTTTCGATTTTACAATTTTTTGTCTTCGATTTTCCGATTTTTCAGTTTTGACTTTTGATTTTTCAATTTGTTTTCGATTTTTTTCCTTTCGATTTTCCAGCTTTTAGTTTCTTCATTTTTTAGTTTTTAGTTTCATTTTTCAGTTTTACAATTTTTCGTTTCTTCAATTTTCTAACTTTAAATTTTTGTTTCTTCAATTTTTCAGTTTTTTTATTTTTCAATATTCCGATTTTTCAGTTTTTAGTTTCTTCATTTTTCAGTTTTACAATTTTTCGTTTCTTCAATTTTCTGACTTTAAATTTTTGTTTCTTCAATTTTTCAGTTTTTTGATTTTTCAATTTTCCGAGTTTTTAGTTTCTTCATTTTTCAGTTTTACAATTTTTCGTTTCTTCAATTTTTCGATTTTTCAGGTTTTTTATTTTTCAATTTTTAGTTTCTTCAGTTTTCAAATCGCTCAATTTTTCAATTTTTTATTTCTTCAACTTTCTGATTTTTCAATTTTTAGTTCCTTCAGTTTTTCGATTCAATTTTCCAATTTTTTAATTTCTTCATATTTCAGTTTGGCAATTTTTCGTTTGTTCAATTTTCCGATTTTACAGTTTCTCATTTCTTTTCGATTTTTTTTTGATTTTTCAGTTTCTTGATTTTTAATTTTTCAATTTCTCGTTTCTTCGATTGCCCATTTTTTCGTTTTTTAATTTCTTTCTTTTCAGGTTTGGAATTTTTCGATTTTTCGGTTTTTTAATTTTTGATTTTTTAACTTTTCGTTTCAACTTTCCGATTTTTCAATTTTTCGTTTCTTCAATTTCCCGATTTTACAGTTTTTTTGATTTTTCAATTTTTCGATTCTCCAACTTTCTGATTTTTCAGTTTTTAGTTTCCTCAGTTTTTCGATTCCTCTACATTCCAATTTTTTTAGTTTCTCGATTTTTAATTGTTTGTTCTTTCAATTTTTAGATTTTACAATGTTTCGTTCGTTCAATTTTTGGTTTCTCCAATTTTCGGATTTTTAAATTTTTGATTTTAAGGTTTTTGATCATTAATTTTCCATGTCTCAAATTTTTCAGTTTCTTGATTTTTAATTTAACAATTTTTCGATTTTACAGTTTTTTGTTGCTTCAATTTTTCGATTTTGCTGCATCTTGATTTTTCGATTTCCTAATTTTTGGTTTTTTCGATTTTCCGATTTTTCAATTTTTGTGATGTTTCTATTTTTCGTTTCTTCAATTTTCCGATTTTTCAGTTTTTAATTTCTTCATTTTTCAATTTCACAATTTGTTTTTTCTCTTTTCACTTTTTTGATCTTTAACTTTCTCTATTTTTCAATTTATAATTTTTCGAATCTTCAATTTTCCAATTTTTCGATTTTACAGTTTTTTGTTACTTCAATTTTCCGATTTTTCAGTATCTTGATTTTTCAGTTTCTTTATTTTTTAATTTTACAATATGTCGTTTTTCCATTTTTCGATTTTTAATTGTTCTTTTAATTTTCAGATTTTATAATTTTTCGTTTCGTTTCGTTGTTTGTAGAGTTTTTATCTTTCGATATTTCAAATTTCGCTTTGCGATTTTTCGATTTCAATTTTTCGATATCTCAGTTTCTCGATTTTTAATTTTTCAGTTTTTCGATTTCACAATTTTTTCATTCTTCTGTTTCTCGATTTTTCATTTTTCCACTTTTCAATTTGTCGATACAGGGTGATCCAAAAATGACGTAAAGGCTCTGAAGATCTCGAAAAAAATTGTTCAAAAAATCCCTAACCGTCCGAAATTCCGATAAAAATTGTGAAAAATGACATCTATCAACAGTGGAAATCGACGTTGTGGATCGTATTCTAACAAATCATTAATACAACATAAATAAACACGTCGAAAACAATATTCGAATATGCGCCAGTTTGAATTTGGCGCCAATGCGCCATGCTGTGATTGGTCGACACGATTGCGAAAATGAACGCATGTGGTAAATACTCACCGGTGATTTGCAGGTCGAGACTTGGTTCATTCGAGGTTATGTTAACGAAACTCAGTTTACGCAAATGGACGAGTTTAGACAGTGGAATTTGGTGACCTGGAAGCGGTAGCAAATGAAACGAAAAATAAAAACAAACCAAGCATCAAAAACCCCATACTTTTCATAGCCTTAGCCGACCCAGTTTTTTTTTTAATCGGAGTCCGATACAAAACGCTGCGCTCTTGCAGAATTTGTTTCCCTCGATTGATTATATGGTCGAGGAAGGGTTTCCCCGTTGGTTGTAGCTGCAAGCTGTCAATCGACGGAAGTTCCAAAACCGGCTTTTCCACGACTTGACTTTTATTTTTTTCGAAAACATCGTCGGCGAAACAAACCCAAATGCGCTTCAAAACAATCAAAAGGATTTTACAACGTTTTAAAACCCGCTTGGAGTTTTCGAGGTCGTTGTTGTCGCCCGAAAGTAGCAACTTTGAGGCGGTTTCCACTTCCTCGAGAACTTCGTTGTAATCTTTGAGTTTTGTTTTGACTTTGTTTGCCTCATTGTCGCTAAACTCGCTTTGGGATTGGCTTAAGAACGATTGTAACACTTTTGTCACGACAAGGAGGGAACCGACGTCTCTCTGCTCAATCACACTGCTTTTCCTAATAGTGTTGGACAAAACGTCAACAATTTCGGTCGCTTCTTCATATATCACCTGATTAATAATAATAATAATAAAAAATTATGATAAAAATGAAAATCATACTTGTGAGAAGGCGAACGGATCAATAATCAAAAAAATCAATTTCTGCAAAGCCACCGCCTGATCCAGCCAATGTCTCATCAAAATCTCCGCACAATTCCGATTATGCGGCGACTTTTCCAACAAAACCGCCGTCAAACTTTGCACTAACTCGCTCTCGAGCGCCTCCAAACTCGCCAAACAGCTCCTGATTTTCACCCCACCTGAAAACCGCAATCACCACGAATGCTAACCTCGTCACCACTTACCTGCGCAGTCGCTAGAATACGAAACCGCAAACAACCCAATCTGCATAATGCGGTCCACGTGCAGGTCCGCCACCAGGGAGTCCAACTCGTCCCCCACCCCCTTCTCCCCCTCGAAACAAAAGTCGCGTATTTTTTCCAAGGGGGCCGTGAATTGCGTCAAAGTTTTAAAGCACAGTTTGAGCACAGCCGTGTTGACTTTTTTTCGAGGTGACAGAGCTTGACGCTACGAGCTTTAGATTTAATCGCGACGTTAGAAAATAGTGCGACTTGTAGGATAAACGTTTCACAAAAACAGGTACTTATTTTTTTAAATATATATGTATATATTTACACTGTGTTGTAGCTTAAGTTACTGGTGAGGTTAATTCTGCAAAGGCTACTTAAGTCAACGACTAATAGCGAAGTGCTTAAGCCTATATGCAACACTCTCGCTTTGTTGTGTGTCCGAGACCCCTTAAAACAGTTCGTCGTTTTAAAAATTTTGCAAAAGATGGACCAAGTGTTCGAGAATTACGCCCTTCCTGTGTTACCCATAGCCAACAGTCTGGGCTTCGACGCCATCCAAAGCATCGTTCTACCAAACCTAGCTCTGTTCTTAAGCAGAACCGAAAAAGGCGAGTTGCCTTTTATTTATTCCATATTGGTACGCCGGCTGTCACCATCTTCACCGAATTATTATTTTCGTTACCTTTTTAGGAATCATACCACATTCTCTGTCAAGAGAGCCTACTAAACTCGGCCATCTACGACTCGTTTTGCGACTACTTCGGCGACGCGATGGCCGTCTTCAACCAAGCCCCGAAATGTGTGACGGTTTCGGAGAAAAGGGACGCGAATTTCGCCCATATTAAGTGCGATTTGTTGCGGACGAGGAGGCGGATTTCGCCGAGGGAGAGAAGGCCCGGTTTGACAATCGACGAGGTTTTTGAACTGCCGGCTGAAGAGTCCAAGGTTCGGAAGAAAATGAACGAGTACAAGCGGGATTGTGGTTATAGTGAAAATGGTGTCACCGTTGGGAAAACTTCTTTATTACTGCTAGTATTTAAACGAAAATGTAAAACTTATGAACAGTGTCAGGATCATACGTTGCTGTGGTACAATTTGTAACTTATTAAATTGTTTTCTTTCTTAGATGGTTTTGGTGGTGTTGGGTTTGAGCGATGTTGATAGGGTTGTCATTTCGTTGAGGATGTCTGCGAAGTGGGCCTTATTAGAGCATACAATGGATTTAAATTTGCGAAAATTCGAAAATTGTTACTTTCATCGTGTTTATTTATGGTTTTAATTAGCACTCGTCGTACAATTTTAAAATTTTAAATTTTTCACGTGATTGATATCAACTTTTGAATTTTTCGATTATGAATTTGACTTTAATTTTTCGATTTCCAGCTTCTCGATTTTACAGTTATTAAATTTTTGGATATTTAATTTTTTCGATTTTTCAATTTTTAAATAATTAATTTTTCGTGTTTTCCTTTTTAACTTTTTAGTTACTCGATTTGTAATTTTTCGACTTTTCGAGTGGGAAATTTTCAATCGTTAAAATTTTTTTTTACCAGTTTTTTGACTTCAGTTTATCGATTTTTCGATATTACAATTTTTAAATATGAGTTCAATTTTTCATGTTTCTAGTTTTTCAATATTTCAATTTTTCGGCGTTTTCGACAAACTATTTTTTTTTTATTTGCCATTTTTCGGTTTTTTAATTTTTCAGCTTCTCAATTTTTACTTTTTCAATTTTTAGTTTCTTCAGTTTTTCGATTCCTCAATTTATCGATTTTTTAGTTTCTCGATTTTTAATTGTTCGTTCTTTCAATTTTTCTGTTTCACAATTTTTCGTTGTGTTCAATTTTTGGTTTCTTCAATTTTCCGATTTTTAAAATTTTTGATTTTTAAGTTTCTTACTTTTTAATTTTTCAATTTTTCGATATCAAAATTTCCCCATTTCTCAATTTTTCAATTTTACAATGCTTCTTTCTTTAATTTTTTGATTTCTCAATTTCAGATTTTTCCTTTATTTTTCGTTTTTTTTACTTTTGATTTTTCAATTTTTCATTTCCGACTTTGCAATTTTTAGTTTCTGCAGTTTCTCGATTTTTTTGTTTCTTCATTTTTTAGTTTTGCAATTTTTCATTTCTTCAATTTTCCGATTTTTGTTTCTCGATTTTTCCGTTTCTTCAGTTTTTCGATGTTCAGTGTCATGATTTCCCAATTTTAAATTTTTCGATTTTACAATTTTTGATTACATCAATTTTCTGACTTTAATTTTTGTTTCTTCAATTTTTCAGTTTCTTAATTTTTAGATTTCCCAATATTTTGTTCCTTCGATTTTCTGATTTTTCAGTCTTTTTGATTTTTCAATTTTTCGTTTCTTCAATTTTCTAATTTTACAGTTCCGCGATTTTTCAATTTCTTTTCGATTTTTTCCCTTCCATTTTTCAGTTTTTAGATTCTTCATTTTTCAATTTTAGTTTCATTTTTCAGTTTTACCACTTTAAATTTTTGTTTCTTCAATTTTTCCATTTTTTTTTCAATTTTCCGACTTTTCAGTTTAACAATTTTTCGTTTCAATTTTTCGATTTTTCATCAGTTTCTTCATTTTTCAGTCTTATAATTTTTGCTTTCTTCAATTTTTAGATTTTTTAGTTTCTCGATTTTTCGATTTCCCAATTTTTTGTTCCTTCGATTTTCCGATTTTTCAGGTTTTTTAGTTTTCAATTTTTAGTTTCTTCAGTTTTTCGATTGCCCAATTTTTCGATTTTTTAGTTTCTTCATTTTTGAGTTTCTTATCGATTTTTCAATTTTTCGATTCCTCAATTTGTTAGCTTTTTCATTTTTTAGTTTTGCAATTTTTAATTTCTTCAATTTTCCGATTTTCGTTTCTCGATTTTTCCGTTTCTTCAGTTTTTCGATGTTCAGTGTCTTGATTTTTGGATTTCCCAATTTAAAATTTTTCGATTTTACAATTTTTGGTTTCATCAATTTTTTGACTTTAATTTTTGTTTCTTGATTTTTAGATTTCCCAATTTTTTGTTTCTTCGATTTTTCGTTTTTTTATTTTTCAACTTTTCGTTTCTTCAATTTTCCGATTTAACAGTTTCTCGGTTTTACAATTTCTTCTACGATTTATCAGTTTTTTTGATTATTCAATTTTTCGTTTCTTCAACTTTCCGATTTTTCAATTTTTAGTTTCTTCAGTTTTTCGATTCCTGAATTTTTCAGTTTTTAGTTTCTTCATTTTTCAGTTTTACAACTTTTCGTTGTTTCAATTTTTTGGTTTTCAATTTTTGGTTTCTTCAATTGTCCGATTTTTAAAATTTTTGATTTTTAATTTTTCAATATTTAAATTTCTCCATTTCTCAGATTTACAATGCTGATTTCTCAATTTTTTGATTTCTCAATTTCAAATTTTTATTTATTTTTTCGTTTCTTCAGTTTTTCGATTTTCCGATTTTTCAATTTTTGGTTTTTTGTTTTTCGATTCCTCAATTTTTGTTTCTTCATTTTTAGTTATCCAATTTTTCATTCTTCAATTTTCCAATTTTTCATTTCTTCAGTTTTTCTATATTTCAGTGTCTTGATTTTTGGATTTCTCCCAATTTTTAATTTTTCGATTTTACAATTTTTTGTCTTCGATTTTCCTATTTTTCAGTTTTTTGACTTTTGATTTTTCAATTTTTCACTTCTTCAATTTTCTAGTTCTACAGTTCCGCGATTTTTCAATTTTACAATGGTTCGTTTCTTCAATTTTTCGATTTTTCTGGTTTTTTGTTTTCCAATTTTTAGTTTCTTCAGTTTTTCAGTTCCTCAATTTCTTCTTTTTGATTTATCAATTTTTCGTTTCTTCAATTTTCCGATTCTACAGTTTCTCTATTTCTCAATTTCTTCTTTACGATTTTTTTTCATTTTTCAGTTTTTTTGATTTTCCAATTTTTTAATTTCTTCATTTTTCAGTTTTACAATTTTTCGTTTCTTCAATTTTTCGATTTTTCAGGTTTTTTATTTTTCAATTTTTAGTTTCTTCAGTTTTTCCATTGCTCATTTTTAATTTTTGATTTTTCAACTTTCCGGTTTTTCAATTTTCCGATTTTACAAGTGTAAGAAGAAATTGAGAAATAGAAGAAAGTTCTCTATTTCTCGATTTCTTCTTTTCTATTTTTTATTTTTCAGTTTTTTTGATTTTTCAATTTTTAGTTCCTTCAGTTTTTCGATTCAATTTTCCATTTTTTAATTTCTTCATTTTTCAGTTTGACAATTTTTCGTTTGTTCAATTTTCCGATTTTACAGTTTCTCATTTTCTCAATTTCTTTTCGATTTTTTCTTCGATTTTTCAGTTTCTTGATTTTTAATTTTTCAATTTTTAGTTTCTTCAGTTTTTCGATTGCCCAATTTTTCGTTTTTAATTTCTTCATTTTTCAGGTTTAGAATTTTTCGATTTTTCAGTTTTTCGTTTCTTCAATTTTTCGATTTTACAGTTTATTCGATTCTCCAACTTTCTGATTTTTCAGTTTTTAGTTTCCTCAGCTTTTCGATTCCTCTACTTTCCAATTTTTTTAGTTTCTCCATTTTTCAATTTTACAATTTGTCGTTTTTTCCATTTTTCGGTTTTTTAGTTTCTCCATTTTTAATTGTTTGTTCTTTCAATTTTTAAATTTTACAATGTTTCGTTCGTTCAATTTTTGGTTTCTCCAATTCGTAGACTCCTGAATTTCTAATTTTTCTCTTTTCAATTTTTCGTTTCTTCAATTTTCGGATTTTTAAATTTTTGATTTTAAGTTTTTTGATCATTAATTTTCCATTTCTTAAACTCTTCAGTTTCTTGATTTTTTGTTGCTTCAATTTTCCGATTTTGCTGTATCTTGATTTTTCGATTTCCTAATTTTTTGTTTCTTCGATTTTCCGATTTTTCAATTTTTGTGATGTTTCTATTTTTCGTTTCTTGAATTTTCCGATGTGACAGTTTCTCGATTTCTTAATTTCTTGATTTTTTGTTTCTTTGATTTTTCAATTTTTTCATTTTTCAGTTTCTTCAATTTTCCGATTTTTCAGTTTTTAGTTTCTTCATTTTTCAATTTTACAATTTGTTTTTTCCATTTTTCGATCTTTAAGTTTCTCTCTTTTGCAATTTATAATTTTTCGTATCTTCAATTTTCCAGTTTTTCAATTTTAATTTTTTGTTACTTCAATTTTCCGATTTTTCAATTTTAATTTTCAATTTTTAGATTGTTTAATTTTTCGATTTTCTCAATTTTTCGATTTTTTGACTGTCGACTTTTTATCTTTCGATATTTCAAATTTCGTTTTGCGATTTTTCGATTTCAATTTTTCGTTTTCCAAATTTTTTGTTAAATTTTTCGATATCTCAGTTGCTCGATTTCACAATTTTTCCATTCATCTGTTTCTCGATTTTTCATTTTTCCACATTTCAATTTGTAGATACAGGGTGATCGAAAAATGACGTAAAGGCTCTGAAGATCTCGAAAAAAATTTGGTAACAAATTTTTGAAAATATTAAACTTCAAACTTGAAGAATAATTAATATGTGAAATTAGTTCACGGCCCAAAATTCCGATAAAAATTGTCAAAAATGCTAATACAATATAAATAAACACGACGAAAACAATTTTCGAATTTGTGCCAGTTTGAATTTGGCGCCGATGTGCCATGCTGTGATTGGTCGACACGATTGCGAAAATGAACGCATGTGGTAAATACTCACCGGTGATTTGCAGGTCGAGACTTGGTTCATTCGAGGTTATGTTAACGAAACTCAGTTTACGCAAATGGACGAGTTTAGACAGTGGAATTTGTTGACCTGGAAGCGGGAGCAAGTGAAACAAAAAATAAAAACCAACCAGTATCAAAAACCCCATACTTTTCATAGCCTTAGCCGACCCAGTTTTTTTTTTAATCGGAGTCCGATACAAAACGCTGCGCTCTTGCAGAATTTGTTTCCCTCGATTGATTATATGGTCGAGGAAGGGATTCCCCGTTGGTTGTAGCTGCAAGCTGTCAATCGACGGAAGTTCCAAAACCGGCTTTTCCACGACTTGACTTTTATTTTTTTCGAAAACATCGTCGGCGAAACAAACCCAAATGCGCTTCAAAACAATCAAAAGTATTTTACAACGTTTTAAAACCCGTTTGGAGTTTTCGGGGTCGTTGTTGTCGCCCGAAAGTAGCAACTTTGAGGCGGTTTCCACTTCCTCGAGAACTTCGTTGTAATCTTTGAGTTTTGTTTTGACTTTGTTTGCCTCATTGTCGCTGAACTCGCTTTGGGATTGGCTTAAGAACGATTGTAACACTTTTGTCACGACAAGGAGGGAAACGACGTCTCTCTGCTCAATCATACTGCTTTTCCTAATAGTGCTGGACAAAACGTCAACAATTTCGGCCGCCTCTTCATATATCACCTGATTAATAATAATAATAATAATAAAAAATAATGATAAAAATGAAAATCATACTTGTGAGAAGGCGAACGGATCAATAATCAAAAAAATCAATTTCTGCAAAGCCACCGCTTGATCCAGCCAATGTCTCATCAAAATCTCTGCACAATTCCGATTATGCGGCGACTTTTCCAACAAAACCGCCGTCAAACTCGGCACCAACTCGCTCTCGAGCGCCTCCAAACTCGCCAAACAGCTCCTGATTTTCACCCCACCTGAAAACCGCAATCACCACGAATGCTAACCTGGCCACCACTTACGTGCGCAGTCGCTAGAACACGAAACCGCGAACAACCCAATCTGCATAATGCGGTCCACGTGCAGGTCAAAGTCCGCCACCAGGGAGTCCAACTCGTCCCCCACCCCCTTCTCCCCGTCGAAACAAAAGTTGCGTATTTTTTCCAAGGGGGCCGTGAATTGAGAGAATGTTTTAAGGCACAGTTTGAGCACGGCCGTGTTGACTTTTTTTTCGAGGTGACAGAGCTTGTGGCTGCAGGCGTCCACGAATAGATGGACCATGGATGGGTTGGTGGTGGGGTTGTCGAGTTCGGTTTGCAGGGAGGCGAGGGTGTTGAGGACGGTCTGGCAGCTGCCGCGGATGATTTTGCTGTCTTGGGGGAGGGAGACTTGAGCGATGGACATGGCGTGGGAGAGGACTTCTTCGAAGATTTGGCGGGTTTCGGTGTAGGTTTCTAGGGCTTTGGTTTTACCGTTGTGGAGGGTGATTTCGGACACGCGTTCTAAAGCGGTGTCCATCCACTTGACGAAGTTGCCGGAGGGGTCAGTGACAGCTGGGGTACAACTAAGGGAGACTTCAATGGACTCTAAACAACAACTAATTTGTTTTACGACACATTTACGGGCTTCCTAAAATGACAAAGTTACGTAAAACATAGTTAAAACGACAGACTTACAGTTAAGACAAGCCCAATCTCTTCTTCAAGTACGAAAGTGTTAATCAGGAGTGACAAAGATGTAAGGACTTGAGTGAGGTATAAAAGTATTGTGTTCTGTGTGGGGGCTGCCTTATCCCTTGTTTGCTTGTAGTACATGCCTATGAGGCCGATAATCGTGGTCAAATAACTGCACAACCCCTTAAAAACAAATTTAAGTCATGGCGATTTTGTATTTTCTGACTTACTTGAAACCAGTCCAAAAGGTCATTTCTGTTGAAAGTTACATTCAAAAGGGTGTGTATGTAGTTCTGACACGACGAAAATCCACTTTGTAGGTCGTTTTGTACATTTTGAGGCTTCGAAAGTACCATTGTTTCGGTTTGTTTTGAATGTGACAGTCATGGCTGCCAACGCATACTAGGGACTTTTAAGTAAGTTTGACGTTTTTGCAACTAGTGAAATAGTGATCCACACATTATGTAAACCATAAATGGTGTCTCTGTATTTTCCACCCTATTTTCATACCTATTTTTGACTTTGTGCACAAAAACTCATTTTCAGCCATCAAGTGAAAAAAAATTGTAATATTTGTACGCTTTGAAATTTAAGTTGGCGACAATGATTGTTTGAAGTCGAGCGCCACATTCGATTGGTGGATTTCGTGACAGTAAATTTAAAATGTGGGGGAAATGAGGTTTTATTGTGACCAGATGCTCTGTTTTCAGAAAAATTCGGAAAATTGAAAAAACAAGAAATTCAAATATCGGAAATCGAAAAGTCGGGAAGGCCGAAAATTGAAAAATTGAGGTCGAAAAATTGAAAAGTCGAAAAATCAGAAAATCCAAAATCGAAAATTTGAAGAATCGATCGAAAAGTCGAGAAATCGAAAATTCCGGTGGCCTAAATTTATTTTATTTATTTAACATTGGTTCAATAAAAATCAAAAAGTTGAAAAAATCGAAAGCCCAAACAAAGATTGAGAAGTCAAAAAACTGAAAAATAAAAAATTTGGAAAGTCGAAAAATCCAAAAATCGAAAGTCGCAAAGTAAAAAATTTGAAAGATCTAAAATTCGAAAAATTGAAGTTGGAAAATTGAAAAAACGAAAAATCCAAAAATCGAAAAATCGCAAAGCCGAAATATGGAAAAATAGAAAAATCCAAAAATCGAGAACTCGAACAGACGGAAAATCGAAAATTCAAAAGGTCACAAAATTCCAAAAATCAATGGAAAAATCGAAAAGTCAAAAAATCGGACAGTAGAAAAATCTAGAATTCGAGAAATCTAGAATTAAAAAAATCTAAAAATCGAGAACTCGAAAAGTCGGAAAATAGAAGAATCGATCAAAAGTTGAAAAATCGAGAAATCGAAAAGTTGGAAAATCAACACTTTGAAAACTCGAAAAAAATCCAAAAATCGATGCGAAACCGAAAAGTCGAAAAATCTAGAATTCAAAAAATCGAAAAATTCAAACTGAAAACTCAAAAAGCTGTAAAATACAAAAATCGAGAAATCGAAGAAATAGAACAGTCGGGAAATCGAAAAGTCGAAAAATCCAAAAAATGTGAAACCAAAATTCAAAAAATCAAAAAATTGAAAAATAGAATTCGAGAAATCAAAAAATTGAGACAGTTAGATATTAAAAAAATAAAAAAAATCAAAAAATCGAAAAATCGAGAAATCGAAAGAACGAAGACTAAAAAATCGAAAAATTGAAAAATCGGAAAATAAAAAAAATCGAGAAATCGAAAAGTCGTAAAATCCAGAAATCGAAAAATCAAAAAATTGGGAACTCATAATCGAGAAATCGAAATGTCGGAAAATCCAGAAATCGAAAAATCAAAAAATCGAATAGTGGGAAGACTCCAAAAATTGTGCAATCGAAAAGTCGAAAAATTGAAAAATCCAAAAATTGAAAAATTGGGGTCCAAAAATTCGATAAAAAAATTGAAAAATCGAGAAGTCTATAAATCGAAAAAAGAAAATCGGGGAGTCGGAAAATACAGAAATCGAAAAGTTAAAAAGTCGAAAATCGGAAAGTCCAAATTTTGAGAAATCGAAAATTCAAAAAATTGGAAAATCCAAAAATTGGAATGATCAAGAAATCAGACATTCGAAAAGTTGAACGGTTAAAAACCGAAAAATTGAAAAACTGGGAAATTAAAAAATCTTAAAATTGAAGTCCAGAAATTAAAGACTCGAAAAATCAAAAAATCCAAAAATCGAGAATTTGAAGAATCAAGAAAAGTCTTCGAAAATTCGATAACTCGAAATGACTCGAGAAATCGAGCGTGGGAAATATTGAAGTCGAAAAATTAAAGAATCAAAAAATCGAAAAATCAAAAAATCAAAAATTGAAAAATTGAAGAATCAAAAAATCAAAAAATCTACAAATTGAAAAATTGAAATTGATGAATCGAAAAATTGAGGCGAAAAATAAAATTGGGAAATCGAAAGAACGAAGGATAAAAAAATCGAAAAATTGAAAAATCGAAACTCCATTTTTGAATTTATTTTATTTTATTTATTTAACATTAGTTCAATAAAAATTATTATTAAAAATCAAAAAGTTGAAAAAATGGAGAAGTCAAAAAACTGAAAAATAAAAAATTTGGAAAGCCGAAAAATGCAAAAATCAAAAGTCACAAAGTCAAAGTTTTGAAAGATCTAAAATTTGAAAAATTGAAGTTGAAAAATTGAAAAAACGAAAAATTCAATAGTCAAGAGTCGAAAAATCCAAAAATAGAAAAATCAGGAAATCAGAAAGTGGAAAAGTTGAAAGGTCGAAAAATCGAAAAGACGAAAAATCCAAAAATTGAAAAATCGCAAAGCCGAAATATTTAAAAATAGAAAAATCCAAAAATCGAGAACTCGAACAGGCGGAAAATCGAGAATTCAAAATGTCACAGAATTCCAAAAATGAATGGAAAAACCGAAAAGTCGAAAAATCGGACAGTAGAAAAATTTTGCATTCGAGAAACCTAGAATTCGAAAAATTTAAAAGGTCGGAAAATAGAAGAATCGATCAAAAGTTGAAAAATCGAGAAATCAAAAAATCGAAAAATTCAAACTGAAAACTGGAAAAGCTGGAAAATACAAAAATCGAGAAATCTCAGAGTTGAAGAATCGGAAAAGTCCAACAATTAAAAAATCGAGAATTCGAAATAGAAAAGTCGGGAAGTAGAAAAGACGAAAAATCCAAAAATCGAAAATTTGAAAAATCAATCGAAAATTCTAGAAATCGAAGAGTCGATAAATCAGACCAACATTCGAAATATCGTAGTAGAAAAATCGAAAAATTCAAAAAATGTGGAATCAAAAATTCAAAAAATCTAAAAATTGAAAAATCGAATTCGAGAAATCGAAAAATTGAAACGGGGAAATATTAAAAAAATTAAAAAAACCTAAAAATCGAAAAATCGCAAAGCCGAAATATTTAAAAACAGAAAAATCCAAAAATCGAAAACTCGAACAGTCGGAAAATCGAGAATTCAAAAGGTCACAAAATTCCAAAAATCAATGAAAAAACCGAGAAGTCGAAAAATCGGACAATAGAAAATTCTAAAAATCGAGAACTCGAAAAGTCGGAAAATAGAAGAATCGATCAAAAATTGAAAAGTCGAGAAATCGAAAAATCAAAAATTTCAAACTGAAAACTTGAAAAACTGGAAAATACAAAAATCGAGAAATCGAAAAGTTGAAGAATCGGAAAAGTCCAACAATTAAAAAATCGAGAATTCGAGAAATAGAAAAGTCGGGAAGTTGAAAAGTCGGAAAATCCAAAAATCGAAAATTTGAAAAATCAATCGAAAACTCTAGAAGTCCAAGATTCGATCAATCAGACCAACATTCGAAATATCGTAGTAGAAAAATCTAAAAATTCAAAAAATGTGAAATCAAAAATTCAAAAAATCTAAAAATTGAAAAATCGAATTCGAGAAATCGAAAAATTGAGACGGGGAAATATTAAAAAAATAAAAAAAAAGAAAAATCGAGAAATTGAAAGACCGAAGACTAAAAAATAGAAAAATTGAAATTCGGAAAGTAGAAAAATCGAGAAATCGAATAGTCGTAAAATCCAAAATTTGAAAAACTCAAATATCGAAAATCCAGAAATCGAAAAGTCAAAAAATTGGGAACTCAAAATTAGGGAAGTCGAAAAATCGAAAAATCGAATAGTACGGAAGACTCCATAAATTGTGCAATCGAAAAGTCGAAAAATTGAGAAATCCAAAATCTGGAAAATCGAGGTCCAAAAATTCGATAAAAATATCCAAAAATCGAGAAGTCTATAAATCGAAAAAAAAAATTCGGGGAGTCGGAAAATACGGAGTTCGAATAGTTGAAAAATCGAAAATCGGAAAGTCCAAATTTTGAGAAATCGAAAATTCAAAAAATTGGAAAATCCAAAAATAGAAATTATTATCAATGAATCAGATATTCGAAAGGTTGAACGGTCAAGAACCGAAAAGTTGAAAAACTGGAAAATTAAAAAATCCAAAAATTGAAGTCCAAAAATTGAATTCGCAAAATCAAAAAATCCAAAAATCGAAAATTTGAAGAATCAAGAAAAGTCAAGAAATCGAAAATTCGATAAGTCGATAACTCGAAATGACCCGAGAAATCGAGTGTCGGAAATATTAAAGTCGAAAAATTGAAAAATTGGAAAAATCGAAAAATCGGGAAATCGAAAGAATGAAGAATAAAAAAATCGAAAAAGTCCAAAAATGGAGAAGTCAAAAAATCCAGAAATCGAAAAGTCGGAAAATCCAAAACCTGAGAAATCGAAAATTCGAAAAATTGGATAATCCAAAAATCGAAAAGTCGGAATTAAAATCCACACATCGAAAAATCGGGAAACGAAAAGTCGAAAAATCGTAATCAAAAGATGAAAAATTTGAAGAATCGATTCAAAAATTCGGGAAATCGAAAAGATGAAAAATTGAAAAATGGAAAATTCGAAAAGTGGAAAATTCGGAAAATTGAAAAAAATCGAAAAGTCGACACATCAAACATTTGAAAGATCGATGCGTCGAAAAATCGACAAATCGAAAACAGGGAATTCAAGAAACCGAAAAATTCAAATATCGAAACTCCGAAAAGCGAAAAGTTAAAAATTGAGAAATCAAAAATTCCAGAAATCAAAAGATCGAGAAATTGAAAAGTCAGACAATCCAAAAATCGAGAAACCGAAAAGTCGAAAAATTGAAAAATCAAAAAATCAAAAAATCGAAAATTGGAAAAATCGATCAAAAAATCGAGAAATCGAAAATTCGAAAAGTCGATAATTCGAGAAATCGTACATTCAAAATATCAAAGTCGAAAAATCGAAGAATTCAAAAATTGAACAATCAAAAAATAAAAAAATCCAAACATTGAAAAATTTCAATTGATTAATAATAA